AAATTCATATTAATTATTTTATATTTCTCAAACAACAATTCAATGAATGAACCATAAGACAAAAAAGAAGAAGGAAAAATGAAAGCTTGGATTGATTGAATTTTTTTTCTTAACAAAACCAGAGGATAGTTGTTCTGGATAGATGTCTATGCAAAACTGGAGTGAATTTTCTCATTTCTCATTTTAACATGACTATACCATGTGAAAAATGATCAACTATCATAATCTTAATTACAAAGCTTGTAAATTGAAACGGAAAAGTAACCATTTAAAGGGTAGACGGTTAATAAATGACTAGGGTTTTTCACATGATATGATAATGCTAGAGATATGAGAAAAATCATCCCTGTCACAAAACACACGGCCTAGCTAATCACGGCTAAAACACCATTTTAAAAATTTTGAGCAAAAGAATTGCTCAGTTAAAGTTGATTGAATAAAATTTTCTAAAGTAATGCAGTCAAACATGTCACATATGCTGACGGGACTAGTCTCGTCACTGACACTGACGGGACTCGTGCCACGTCAGCGCCACGTAGGCAGTCTCATTATCGTAAAACTTTGGAAGGTCATAACTTGTGACTCGGGTATCCAAATCAGATGATTTTTTTTTTGATTTCACATAAATTTTCGAGATCTACGCAATGACATCTAATTTGACATATTTTATTTCTCACAAACATAATTTGAAGATCTTCTGAATTTAAACGCGTGATTGTGGTACAATTGTTACCAATTCAAATTATGTTTGTGAGAGATAAAATATGTTAAATGAGATGTCATTGCGTAGATCTCGAAAAGTTATGTGAAATCAAAAAAATCATCTGATTTGGATATCCGAGTCACAAGTTATGGTCTTCTGAAGTTTTATGGTAACAAAACTGCCTACGTGGCGTTGACGTGGCACGAGTCCCGTCAGTGTCAGTGACGAAACTAGTCCCGTCAGCATATGCGACATGTTTAACTGCATTACTTTGAAAAAACTTATCCAATCAATTTTAACTGAGCAATTCTTTTGCTCAAAAATTTTAAAACGGTGCTTTTCCCATCTAATCACACTTAATGAGTTTTCGTACAAAGCAGCAAATAATTATTTTTACCACTGATCTAGTGGTTTTTGTTATGAGACAGTTGTATTATGATTGTACAAATTAAATATACTTTAAACGGCAAGAATCTATGACACTATTACGCTAAGATAAGGAACAAGTCATTCAAGCCACTGAACAGGAAAAGCACAAATAATCAAATCAACAGTCAATAATGGAACGGTGATAATTAACCTTTTCGTTGTGCTTAAACTATTGCTTATTACCTAATAATAACATCTCTTGACTGTGTCCATTACTTTCGTTTTTCTGCTACACATGTACCAAAAGAAAATCACATAACATACAACAGAGATTCTCAACATCCTAAGTTCAACTAGTTACAAACCATGTCTTTCGCTGGCTCTTGATAGTACGGACAAAGTTGAGATAATATTTCTTGGATAAAATATTTTTTTTATAATATGAAACAGAGATTGAGATTATATACCTACAAAAAAAAGAGATTGAGATTATATTTTCTTAATCACCAGACTAACCTCGCTGGGTTCGCCATCAATTTTTTATAAAAAAATTTATCAAAATAAAATAATTGCATCCTATAATTTTTATCTTCAAAGTTTGGTTTTTACATTTTTTTTATATCAGTTCTTTAGGACAGACGCTAGCACTGATGGGGTTGTAGATGGTTGGCGATTAAATTATGTAGTTACTGTTACTACTATGTGACAGTGGCAAAACATAAAAAAATGGATTATAAAATGCATTATAATTTTTTTTTATTTTTTTTTAATGTTGACTGAATTATCTCCGCTACTTTCAAGCTACCTAGCTAGCTCAAAATGCAAGAATAGATTATTAATCGTTAAAATGCATTCGTAAACACATAACACAAATATATCTATTTATACACATTATAAATATTTTTAATTTAATAAGTTTTATGAATAATATTTAGGTGACTCGATTTCCTTATCATTTCGAAATAAATATTTTGAAAAATAACCAATTTCAAATAAACTATTATTGAACCTAACTTCTCTATTTTTTAAAAACAAAAATTGTAATGATTCTCTAAGCAACTCAAATTATTCCTCTTAAATTCAAAATAGATACACTGAACAATGCATATAAATTTTAATACTTTGAATTTTTAACAAATTTTAATATTTCTTTTATTGATATGTACAACGGTTTAAATAATATCAATTCGTCTAATTTTATCAATGTTTTTGAAGATTTCAAAAGTTTTAAACTATAAAAACAAAAAATTACATGTAATAGTCATTAGTATTATTTTTATTAATTTATTATAAATATTTTATTTTATATCTCAATTGTTATTTAACTTTTTTAGAATCATTTGATGATGTAGTATAGTTCTCTGAATCGAAAGATCGTTTTAGTTTTTCTTCTTTTGTAATTGTTCTAACAACTTTTGAACATATATCTAACATAACTCGCTATTTTCATTTCTCTCTTTGCAAATATGCTTTACTAAGATTTAAAATGTTTTTCCAAATGACCATCCACTTAAAAATCAACATTGTTCCTTCCAAGTAGGGCAAAAGTAAGGGAAAAATTGTAAATGATTTAGTACTGACGTGAACCTTTCAAAATCAGTGTGTATTCTTAATTATACTATATTTACACTCATGCATGACGTGGGAGACAAACAGCTATTAAAGGAAGGTGAAATGTCAGTTGGTGGCTTTTTATAGGGTGTCTCCACCTAGTTAGATGAGACTGGAGACTAATTTTATTTTTGTTTTGAGTTAAACTTAATCCAAATTATTTTTCTGAGATGAGCTGGTTTTTTTGTTATTATTACAAGTTTTGATACTTTGAATAAGTTAAGAGACTAATCCATAGTATTGGATGATCTGGGATGAAGATATTTAAACTTCTCTTAGATATGATATATTAGGATCGAACCGAAGTTCTTTTTTTTCCACTTATTTAGCTCCCTAACTATTTACTGAGCTACCATAATTTGATACTAATTTTTTTGCATTGATGCAAATTACTCGTCCTGGGAATCGAATTAAAGATCTTTCAGTCCTATAAATTCACTCCTTGAACATAATTCACTTATTAACTTGGCCATCCTACGGAGTTTCATATTGCAGGAGAATTATTTTTTTTCTATTAGTAATTTTTCAATTTTTGTGTAGTATTTATATTTTTTTAATAAATGTGGGTTCTACACAAGATATATCTATAGCATGAATTTTTTTTTTCTACTGCATGAGAAAATTAAACTCTAAAAAAAAAAAGATTATAACCTCCCTAGTAGAAAAATTCTTGTATATATTAGTTGTGTTTTTAAAAATCTCTCTAAATTGTATCGGAAATGGTTGCTCTCATTTGTTAGTTAACATGATTATGATCATGTTAGAGGATCTTAATCTCAATAAACAAATCAATGATGATGATATTGTAACTTTCTATCTCAATATTTTTTTTTTTACTTTTTTTTATTACTATTAATTCACCCTTATATAATTAGTATCTTCTAATATATTATGATCATGTTAAATAACACAGGAAAGATCCGCTCCCAAATTGTATCTATTCTCCGCAGTCGAAACGCCACGTGTGATAATTCCAACTTCTTGAGAATGACACGTCAACAAAGGGAAAGGTGGGCCACATGCTTGATCTCTATACTCACTTTATTCATTCTTGTAATCTCGATAGAAAAGTAGGTTGGAACATGATTAAGATACCAAGCACCCATACATTCAACAAAGTAATTATAATTTCTGATTGACTAAACCTTACCACTTGCCCCCCTTTAATCTCTTTACCAAACTAAGATGGTTTTTCTGCTAATTGTATACTATAGAACTTGAGAATGATTCCGAGGTAGAATAGAACATTAGAGCGACAAATAAAACGCTGATCTTTTCTCTTCCAACGTGAGAGACTAGAACTTTGGTCCGCAAAATGAATATAATTAAACTAGTTACCGACAAGTTGGATGGGCGATGTAAAAATATTTTGTGATCACACAAGAGGGATGCGTAACAAATGAATGACCAAGAACTAATATTAAGGATTGCTTGGTGAAGGGATCAAATCCTGCCTCAAGCAGTTTCTTGGAAAATCTTTGGGGGCCAGAGGATAAGCCAAAAAATCTTCGGTTGGGGGATTAGTCTCGTCCTTTCTCCGGTTGCGAAGCTTAGTGCACCTACTGTTACAATGAGTAACAAATGAATGACCAAGAACTAATATTAAGGAATTAAACTTACTACTTCAAGTTAGCAAATAGAGGACCTTCAAGTTAAGGTGCTTGGTGTGTTGGCCAAGTTAAAGGCAACTCAGGTCTTAAATGAGTTATTAAACAACATTTGATTCCAAGGTTTGGGATTTTAGAGATTCAAGAAGGACCGCGAGCCTGCAAAGCTACATACTTAAAATAATATTAATAGCTTAAAAGTTTACATATATAACATACTTCATGACCAAAAAAAACATTACAAAATTAAAGGTGCAACAGCAGCAAATCCCCTCGACTTAGAAAATGCTGTAGATATACATAGGGAACAATTAATATAACCAAAAGGCAAGAAAGACACACTACGCGGTTCTTAACACACATTACAGAAATTTCTTCATGGCCAAGCAAACGACATGATGTGAGAGTTCGCCCATAATTTATTACATGATACCTTATTCCTTTTCATTTCTTCAAGCATATTAATTATTCATGCAATATATAAATATATATTTGGAGAGTGATCAATTTACACTAGTATAAGAATAATAAGTCTTATCTTCAATTTCAGTTATCAATTTCACTCGCATTCAACATCTCCAATGTATTAAGTCTGTGAACCGTCAGGTGCAAGTGAGATCAATGACTAAGACCGAGTTTAAAATTTATTATTCTTATTATACCGGTATAAATTGATGATTCCGATTTATTAATAATATAAAAGGTTTGCCTTAAGGGAAATCCCACAGGCTTGGCTCTAGGTCCATGTTTTCAGGGGAAGAAGCCTCCACACCAATGTCAATAGGAGGAGGGCTAAGCAGCATTCCTTCAGCCATATTGACAAGAACATTGGGCATATCAAAGATCAAATCCTCATCCACAAACTGGTTAACCCCTTCCTGTTGTTCTTGTTCCCCTGAAACTTTTCTTTCTTGGCTTCCTTGAATACCAGATAAAGCATCCTTTGCTGCTCCAGCAGCAGAAGCAGCACTAGCTGCAGCCACCTTAATATCACTAGCAGACAAAGAAGCAGGGACAGGCAATGAAGAAGCTGAGTCAGGGAAGTTCAACTCAGCATCCTTACCCTTAAGAGCAATTGCAGCCACATCATATGCAATAGCAGCCATTTCTGGTGTAGGGAATGTCCCTAACCAAATCCTATCAGGCTTCCTTGGCTCACGAATTTCAGACACCCATTTTCCACTACTCCTACGCCTCACTCCACGGTACACTGGGTGACGACCAGTTTCTGCAGAGACTTTGCTGCTAGTACTGCTACTGCTTGCTGTTGCAGAACTGGTGCATTTAGATTGAGAACCAGATTGCATGGTGTGTGTATTGTGTATGTGTGTTTAGAGTGAAATTTTGATGGCATGAGTTGGCAATTGAGGGAAGCCATTTATGGGGGTGTGATTTTGGAGGGAAATTGAAGGGTGGAGAACAAGTTCTGAAATGAAAGTGCAAACCAGTTGTTGATGAATTGCAGCGTGTGAACTGTGAAGGGTTATGGGGTGTAAGCCAACTTGGCCTTGGATATCTGGGTTGGAGGGCGTGTTCTGTAACAAGATAAAAAAGAAAAGAAAAGAAAGAAAGATGAATTCACTTAAACCACGTCAAAATTTTCAGTAGTGATATATTGCACTTTGTTAATATACATCACTGTTGATTTGATTTCATTGATCTTATTAATTATACAAAGTGACATATATACTGAAGACAGCACAAAAACTGACGTGGGTTTCTATTCTATTCTTCTCCTCGTATTTTCGTCATATTTATCCTACCAATTAGGTAGGGTTTTGTGCTGCTGCCGCAAATCACAAGACAGTGGTTTTGTTTTACTTTGTCACTAGTTGGAGATCAATTCGGAAAAACTATAGTCCAAGTCTAGTGTTGGCATCTAAAATCTGTGTAAAGAACCTTGGGATACACCACCCCAAAAGCTAGCTCAAGGGATGAGAGTGTCAAAGGCCTTATAAACTCCACATTAGTTGCTCATACAACCAATGTGGGATTGTATATCTCAACACGCCCCCTCACACGAGAGCCCATTGGGCTTGAAGAATAGACAATGCAACAGGCCCAGCCTACCTATGCTAAGAAACGCCACAAGAGAAAGTGGGGGGCGACGAGGCTCTGATACCATGTAAAGAACTTTGGGATACACCACTCCAAAAGCTAGCTCAAGGGGTGGGAGTGCCAAAGTCCTTATAAACTCCACGTTAGTTGCTCATACAACCAATGTAAGATTATATATCTCAACAATCTGAATGATCACTGAATACCCAAATCAATGGTTAAGACACCATCAATCATGTGGATCAACTAGCACGGGTTATTCCAACTTAACTGCTTGTCTCGAGTTAAAATTGTGAATACGCAGCTATGTTAAAAAATATAAAGAAAAGAGATCTCGAGCTCAAACTATGGGAATGGAGAAAAAATAATGTGGGATGACTTTCTCCTATATGGGTCTGACACATTTTCAAATGAGATATAAAGTCATGTCTATTTTTTTATGCCTATTTTATCTATTTATTTTCAACACTTTTAGTTCAGAATCTTAAGTGAAGAGAAAAAGAACGAAAATTAGTTGAGATTATGATATAATGGTATTGAAGATGAGTAAGTAGATTAAACATAATAAAAGTAGTCACAATATGGGGATGTAATAAGATAAGAAGCTATTGGGTGCATTAGCGGCTTCTAATATAGCTAAAAGGAATGTGCTATTAGGTATTGAATCATAAGCCATTGCATTTTTTTAGGGATTTCCTAGGTGTATATATTTTGATTTTACCTCACTACTTCATGTTCTCCTCTCTCTCTCTCTCTCTCTCTCTCTCTCTCTCTCTCTCTCTCTCTCTTTTCTTTTGGTGTTTTTAGTAATAGCAGACGTGGATTATTGTTGTGTGTCTGAAAAGGATAGGACTTGGAGATGGATAGTTAAGTATCTTTGAAGAAATGGATACGTTCAATGGACCACAAGCAAGAGTGATCATCTAACAAGTTTCAACAAACAACCCCTCGTTCGGTTATCATAAATTTGTTTAGGTCTAATTCATTATTCGGAATAATAGTTATGCAAAAAATGAGGAGAAATATGTATAAATCTTTTTAATAGACTAATGGAAAATGGGTTGTTAGGTCCACTACAACTTTCTTTGTATGACTCTGTATATTTTGGCCTTGTTCAAGTGTTTTATAAAGCATTTATCCTATAAAAAAATACTTAATATTACAACTTTAATACAACTCTTAAACCACTATCAACAGACAATATTAATGGAATCGTCATAGATTAATAAACTTGCATAGTGGTAACCAGATTTTTATTTCAAAAAATATAAAATAAAAAAATAGCTTGCATAGTGATAAACTTGATGACTGTGTTTAATTTATTCCTTTCTTTCTCTTTCATCGTGTCCCTCGTAATTCAATCCAACTTGACCGTGAAATTTAAATACAAAAAAATTGAACAAATGTTAACTAGTGCTTTTGAGGCACTTTTTAAGAAATTGAAAAAATAATATGAAACGAAAATCAAAACTATTTTAGTTGTAAATATATTAAATATTGTACTTTTATAAAATATCTTTAATTTTTTATTTTTTTAACAAGTTTATTTACGGAATTCGTTAGCAAGATTCAAAAACTTGATATCAGGTTTAAATCTTGAGCCATAACTATGAACTGATCGCCATTAGTTAGATTCATCAGAAAGTTTGAGGAAGCAGTAATTTCACTGTGAAATATAACTTAAAATATAACTTAAAGGACAACATTCACAATAATTTGATGACAAAGCAGAAACCACTTTGAAGTTTTAGATGCTAAGTGTTCTTCGCCAAATCCTAATATCATGATCTCTTCAAACGTTCTCTCCATTGTTGGTCACTTGAAGGAGTTTATGATCGAATTAAATTGTCGATCAATATTAAGGCATTTGTTTTACTCTTTTTTTTTTTTTTTCGAATTCTGGTTGCCAGCTAAAGGAGTTAAAGGTTAGATGTTACAAGAATTAGCTATATTGGTAGAATCAAATTATATCGACTAAAAAGTTGTTGGTTCAATTTTTGCTAATGATATTTTATTAATAAGTCAATTTTAAGTAAGCCTTCATTAAAACTTATGGCATACCTCTTTGCATTAAAAATAAAAATAATAATAATAGTAGTAAGAGAAAATTTAGAGAAAATTTCACTTTGACCCCTTATGAGAATATATAGTGTATTAGTTAATCACCTGCTTAAATGCCAAAAATGACTTTATTATATGAAATATCAAAAATGATTTTAATAAATAAAGAATTAAATTATAAATGAAATGTAAAAAACATCCTACGTAGAAACGAAATTATTTTAGTTAAATTTAATTATCACTTAAATCACAACCTATTAATTTTTTCTTCATCTATCTAAGCAGGCTTTTCTCTATTAAATTTAGCAAATCCATAAAAATATAATTTCATACAACTAATGTGACAAATTTAAAAAACAATATCATTTAAAATTAATTAAATATATGCTTATTTTTTGAAATTTTACGATAAAGATATTTTTATGTTTCTCCTGTTGATTAAAATTGAAATTCTGTTTACCAAAATAAAAATTGAAATTCTTTTCCAAAAAAAAAAAAGTTTACGTATAATACTAAGTGGATTTGGTGTATTAGAAAAGTAATTTTGTAAAAGGTTATTCAATTTTAAAATTTAATGATTAATTTTAAAAAACTATTTTCAAAACCAGAAATCAAACAAGGTTACGCATTATATTTACATATTCTGTGTGTTTAGTACTCTTTCAATGCACTCTTATAAAGGAAAACACGATCCACTGCCTTCTGTCTGAGCCAGAGGAGTCATATTCAATAGGTCCACAATATTGGAGCATGGGATGGGATTTAAGTGCATGCACTTAAAAAACATGAATTGGTATCATTGCTTCTTGACCAATCATACGGCGGAGCAAACGTACCAACTTGCAAAAGATTAACCCAACTGCATATTCAATATATAATGTACATTGATTATGGTTGATTTCTATTTATGGAAAGTGGAGTGACTATAATTGGGATGTTAAGTGTTGCTTATATTGTTGTTGGGTGCACTTGAACTGTTTTTTAATCAGTAACAGCATCAACCCCTGTCTGTTTATCAAAGAGAATTATTGTGACATCAATTTTTTTAAATATTTGTGGCATGATACACATCAAACATTCAATTGGTTATTCGTTATTGGTTATGTTCAGTAAAATTTCAAATACTTATTATAAAATTAGCCTTCAATAAATATTTGACAAATATGTTATTAATTACTAATAATACTTTTTGCTTCTTGACCAATCATATCAGGGAGCAGACGTACCAACATGTGCAAAAGATTACCCCGGCTGCTTATTAATTATATAATGTACTATACAAATATAAATAAAAAGTTACAAAACTTTGATTTACAGTACAGTTTCTAATTCTAGAAAGGATGATGTTGGTGCTTAAATCTTTGTTGGGTGCAATTAAATTGTTTTTTAATCAGTAAAAGCTTCAGCCCTATCTATTAAAGAGATTTTTTTTTTATTTTTTTTCATTCAAATCAAAGAGAATTATTTTGATATCAAATTTTTTCTTTGTGGTAAGATACTTGTTGCCTTGCTAACAGTTGTGCAAGTAATGCGCGCAAGTATACGCGACAACAAGTAATATAGGGCTGTTATAAGTCTTAGTTATCGTTCCCACAAGGATCGTTGGCGTTTTGAAATGACTAAAATTTGTAATTGCTTAAAACTGAGTTACTATTTGAAAATAAAAGAAATAAAATTGTAAAGTAAAAAATAATCTAGAATGGACCTAAAACACTACTGTTCACTTTTCTTTTAAAATTTTCTGAATTACTTTCCTAAGTTATAAAATAAGAAGTAAGAATGAAGCAACTTAAATGACAGATGTGACAAAAATTTTGGAAACAGAACAGAGATTGAAATATGAAATAACAAAGGAAATTTGGAAATCGGAGTTGATAAAAATATTCAAAAAGGTGGGTTGAGTTCTGGCTCTCCTTCCCCACAGTGCTTGAAAAATAATTTGATTAACAAAGAGCTCATCCTAAGATTCTCAGTTAACAGAACTGTATTGTTAATTTTTAATCTCTTAAAAATTATTTTATCCTAAAATTGCCCACTTCCATATCTCTATGCCAAGTGGGATTAGGACTCTTGAGACTCAGGTCCAATATTACATGAGGTCTCATTCATTTCTGAAATGAGATCCCTTAGATGATTTCTCATCTAAGTCCATGTGTCTAATGCAGAATCCAGAGTTAGTTGTTTCTCA